CAGAGATGTCACAATTCACAATTAAGGTGACAGTTCAGCAAATTTGGTTCTTAGAATCAGTAAGATGTTGGAAGATAAATGTAGCAGCTCATCCCCTTGAACCTGTGCCACCATTTAGTTTGATCATGGCTGACCTGTCCCACACTGGTTTTGCTCCTGAATGCCACATTCAAAGCTAACACGTCGTGCGTGCTTACAGCTCAGTCTGGAATTCCAGACAACTGCATCCCTGAATCTGGTTATTGCATTCTTGTACGAACAGGCTCACTCTGCCCCAGCACGCTTGTGTCCTGGCTCGGTTGCACCCCGGATCACTTCCACCCCGCACACTTGCAACCACTTTGAATCTTGATTTTAAAACAAATAAATAAACTAAAGCAGCCTATCGCATGTCCTATTGTGTATCTGGGTTAGAATTTCATTCGCATACATGCATTTTGGCAAAATGTGTAATCACCCTATGTGCCTGCTGTAAATATCTCCAAAGGAGAGTCTAAAACAGAAGTGGTAGCATATATGATATACGTTTGCCCACAAAAGTTTATTATTATTATGCCGCAAGAGTATGGAGCTGGGAAGTGGAGTATGTGCATTAGAGAGGTTTCAAGAAAGCCTGTTTAAATATTACGCACTTTGAATGGGACTGAAGACAGAGCTGAGCTTTAGCCTTTTTATCACAGAGGTCTCAGATGGCTGCAAGCATGGGACTTGCACAAACAGTCAGCCCTACAGTCTCTCATTGTTTGCGTTCTATTTCATTCTTGGGCAAAAGCAAATTTCATTGAGGTGGAATTCAATCAGTTGTACACTTTTGTCTCTTTCTGTAAAGCCTGCATGGACGGTTTGGAGTCTTTTGAATGATTATGTTTTTGAAAACTATTTGTTTCTGTCATCTCCTACACCAACATTTCCGATCTACTAATTGTTTTAATGTAAACACTGAGCTGTGGATGAATGTGTGTGTGCACAACACGAAGTCCCAAGCTATTGCATGTTATGCAATGGTGACTGGAGTCAATAGCTATGGGGAACAGGCAGGATTCGGGAGCTGAAGCTAAGATCAGATCAGCTATGATGTTATTCAGTGTCCGAGCAGACTGGAGAGGCCAGGCAGCCTACTGATGCTTCTATTTCTTACGTTCTTCAAACAACCACTTCCAGTAACACATGAGGACGTCTCCAAGTGCTTCAGAATAAGGAAGGAAAATGAGCGGGAGTGAATAGGGGAAGCAGAGGGTTGAGTTGAGGGTCACAGATAATGGAGAGATTTGAAGCATTTTTGAAAACAGGAAATGAGGACTATGGCAGAGAAAGAGGGCCAGAGGACCAAGGGCTGAAAGAGAAACTGATATTGTGAAGGAGCTGATGAAGCTGATATTTACTTGTTTTGCCAGTTGTTCCCCTCTGTCCTGAGGGCTTTGTCTGAGGGTTAGATTCCACAGGTACATGAAGCCCTGTGCGATGACTAACCTTGTTGTCTGAGTTTAAACACCAATAGTCTAATAGGTCATCCATTCTTGGCCAGAGGTTTCTCAATTGCTGCAGGAATGCCAAAGGCATCTTGTTGAAGTCTCTCTTATTGGTCTGAATCTGCTAAGGCTCTCCATTGATGTAAGCCATCCAAACACAAACTAAAAATAGGAGCAAATTACTGCAGATGCTGGAATCTGTACTGAAAACAGCAAAATGCTGGACATCACAGCAGGTCAGGCAGCATCTGTGGAGAGAGAGCAAGCTCATGTTTCAAGTCATCTCGACTCATCGTTAGCTTGCTCTCTCTCCATGGACGCTGCCTGACCTGCTGTGATCTCCAGCATTTTTTGTTTTCACTACAAGCTGGTAATAAGAACTGGAACTTTCGTAAACATTATGTATTAGAATGGCACCATATAGTATACTTACACAGAATCTTTGGGAGAATTGCTGTTAGAAAGGTCCCCAGGTAAAATAAATAGAAAACATGAGCAGAAAATCCAGAAATATGGTGATTTTAATTTAATCTTTTGGAAATGAACAAAATGACCTCCTGTATGTAAAATAAATTTACACCGATCAAGATGATCTGAGATAATGGAGCCATTAGGTGAGAGATCTCTTTAGAACTGAGTTTGGGAAGAGTGCGTCTTCAGAGAGTGGTCAAGAAAGAGGATGGTCCATAGGGTGGGAGAGTGATTGAAAACCACCTCCATTCAAAAAACAGGTCAGTTTTGGCTTTTGATTCTTGCTGCACAAAAGACTGCTTGAAACACTGACACTTTCCCAGGGACACTCCCCACTCCCTTAAACTTCAAATGATAGCATCAGCTATCTAAGGGATGGCTGTGCTTTACCTGGGAGGAAAAAAGCTAAAAACTAATTTGCTTATAACTCCATAACCTCATACCCGCACAGAATCCCTGTTGGGCTCTGTGTGGGTTGCGAGCTCCACTTTGGAAACTGCATGGATTAGGTAATACACCAGAGACTGTAAACTTTCTTTTACTGGGGGCTAGGTGAACGGAGCGAATAGCCTCTATTTATTCTCTTGTCTTGAGAATATTTTCATCTCTTAAAAACATCTGGCGATGTTTCCTATAGTAAAATATATAAAACAAACTTTTTATTAACTGGCACCTTTTGGGACCAGGAATGTGCTGGTTGATCAAATATTCTGGTTGAATATGCAGACCTCCTCATCAAATGTAAAAACACCCACTAAGTAATAGAAATGTATTGTAGGGATGTATGCATGACTGTTCTACTTCATTTACAGCATAAAACACTTAAATAATAATGCAACTTTACCGTAAATAAAACATATCGGCAGAGAGCCTTCTCACTCTCACCCTCAACTGACTACTTGGGTATTGGGATAATACGTTAAACTTCCGGTATTTGAGGTATACATTGCTTGCCGATTGATTAAAAGTGCCGGCTCATTAAGGTGCCGGTTAAAACAAAGTTTGCTGTGTATTCGAGTGCCGAGCAAGTTCCAGACTATTTAGAGACTGTTCCTGTTCTGACATCTCACAGCTGTGATCTTCCTTTGCCCCTTATTTTTAAAGTTGCTTTGGCTCAGGCCAACAGTTTTAATTATTATTTGAAGTCACTGAATTAAGTTTGCCTCTCAAGTGACGTGGAGTTACCTTGCTTGCTGTTTGGAGTTACATTCTGACTTTTACACTGCTTTGTAGCCATGGGTCAGGCGTAAGTATTTGTAAATTTAATATGGGAGCAATTGATGGGAAAATGTCATGGCCTTTTTACAGCCGCTGTGAAAACCATTTGAAACATGCAGAGATAATACAGTGGTCAATGGCTGTGCTGTCTTTTTATGTTCATTATTCTAGTTCTGTACTTTACATTGTGGGAATGTATTCCTCTTGGTATTACTTGAGCAGTAAGCAAATTGATTTCATTCTGTCTTGTATCTTTGAGTGCTGCCCCAAGCCCACAGTCCAAACCTTAGCTCTGTATCTTCACCCAGAGCCCAATGGGGACCGAACTCTAAAACATGCTGTCTAAACAATTCTCATTTGCTTTTCTCCATTTAAGTGCCGCCCACCAACTTGCTTCCATTAGTTGGTCACCGGTCACCAACCCCATCAGCCCAACAATGATCTGCGTGAAACAAAACAAAATAAACTGTGGTTGGGGGAGTGGCCTAATATGTTAAAGGAGCTAGCTGTAAGTTCTTTCTATTAATCTGTGCACCAATAAATATGCCTCTCATCTAAAGCAACAATTCCCCTCCTTGCTTTAATCTAGTTTTGTAGGGGAGGTGTTACAGGTAATTGTCTATATCCTCCATTCGGGAAAATTGCAGCCGACCAGCTTAACTTTGCTCCTCGTTATTGGCCCCTTGAGTCCCTGCGTTTCACTTTCCATCGGCTCTTGCCTTACACTGTGATCCCTTTACCCAAATGGTTCACTTTACATGTAATCTGCACTGTCAATGTCAGCTGTAAGAATATGAGAACAATCACAGCTATGCTTACTCGGACCCATTGGTGTGTACTTTCCAGCATGGGTAACTGCGGGACTAGCGTAGACCAGTTGGGGCTGAATGGCCTGTCCTATGCTATCCGTTCAGTGTAATTTATAGCTATAATGTTTGGAAAACCAGGGTGCGGCAGAGATTAAACATCAGGCTTTCTTCCCTGGCAACTTAACTCATAAATGATGGGAGGTACGGAATCACAATCCCGTTTTCCAGAGCTTCATAAAAGAATACATTTTGAATGAATCTGTTTTGACGTGTATGGCACACCTCTGGAGCAAGTGGGCTTCCTGGCTGAGAGGTAGGAACGCTATTTCTGCGCCACTAGACCCTTGTTCTTGTGGGCATAAGCCTATCTCATGCAGCCGTTCATGCTCCTCACCAAATGATAAAACACTCAGGCCGGTTTGTGTGGATAATAAAACGTCTGGCTGTAGGTTGCCGGGATTCTTAGATGCTGCAGCATGGGAGTGAGGTGAGTAGAGGGAGCCTTACTGTACCCCTCACCTGATGGTTGGGAATGCTTGGTGCCAAGACCAAGAGGCTGAAATGGGAAGAATTCTGTTACCTCGGATGAGTGTCACACGCTACAGAAAATGTTTAAAAGGAAAGCAACCGCTTAGGTTTGCGCAGAGGTGAATTGATTCTGGAGCGAGCTGAAGTATAGACTGTTGCTCTGTCGCCCTTGCTCCCACTGTCGGAGAACATTGATGCTAAAATGCTGAGTCAGAATGGAGTGCCTGTGAGTGTAGTTTGTAAAGACTGTCCATTACCACCAGCGTTTTATGACCGATTTCAGTGCCAGGTGAGCAGCTGGCACTGACAGGAAAATCTGCGTTCCTGACCAGGTGTGGCTAGGTGACCCACGACATTGGAATGCAGCACCTTGCATTCTCAGTCCCTGCAATTTTCTGTCACATGAGAAGACAAATAGCCTAGTGCCATCAGTGATCAGTTTGAGTGGGTTGTCTCGTGCTCTTGAATCCCTGATCAATGATTCCGTTTTCTGTTTATTTTCCAGAGTGGAAAAGTTTAATGGCTTTCAGGTAGAGGCCAGCAAGAGACGATAAAGATGAACACAGTAACCTCCATGGACAGACACATTCAGCAGACAAACGATCGGCTGCAGTGTATAAAACAGGTAAGGCTACAGAATCCTTGACCCTGTTTCTGTGCCCTCGGCTTAATCCAATTCATTCTCCACAAGCAGCTGATTAAAGGTTAATGGTGATCTCTAAGGATCAAGTTGATACTGAGTACAGATCCGTCCTGGACCTGAGTGGCTGAGTAAACAGTTTGATCAGATTCCCATTTTTGTTTTCATGATGCCTCTAAAGGACTTTTATTGCAACCCATTGTTTCGCAAACATGCAACAAAATGATGCCGTTCGTTTCTCATTTTTAAAAAGATGTTCCAAATAGTTCAGTAAGTATACCCCTTCGCCTGGAACTGAGCCAAAGCTGGTTTTATAGAGTCTCCAAAGCCATACAGCATGGTAACAGACCCTTCAATCCAACTCATCCGCACCGACCAGATATCCTAAATTAATCTAGTCTCGTTTGCCAGCATTTGACCCATATCGCTCTAAACCCTTCCTATTCATATACCATCCAGATGCCTTTTATATGTTGTAATTGTACCAGCCTCCTCCATCACCTCTGGCAGCTCATTCCATACAAGCACCACCCTCTGCATGAAAATGTTGCCCCTTAGGTCCCTTTTAAATCTTTCCCCTCTCACCTTAAACCTATGCCCACTAGGTTTGGACTCCCTTACCCTGGAGAAAAGCCCTTGACTATTTACCCTATCCATGTCCCTCATGATTTTATAAACTTTGAGAAGGTCACCCCTCAGCCTCTTACACTCCCTGTAGCTCAAACCCTGCAAGCCTGGCAACATACTTGTAAATGTTTTCTGAATGCTATCAAGTTTCACAACACCTTTCCTATAGCTGGGAGACCAGAATTGAATGCAGTATTTCAAAAGTGGCCTAACCAATGTCCTGTATAGCCCCAACATGACCTACCAACTCCTATACTCAGTGCACTGGCTAATCAAAGCAAGCATACCAAATGCTGCCTTCACTATCCTGTCTACCTGCGACTCACTTCACCATCCTGTCTACCTGCGACTCACTTCACCATCCTGTCTACCTGCGACTC